GGTGGCTGCTGGAAGGCCCTAGGTCTGGCAACAGGACTCTGCACCATGTCACCATACGCTGATCGGGAAGTTTTGAGAAGCGTTGAACCACCACTTGCTGTTGTTCCCAGGTCCACCTTGACCCAGGTTGTTAACACCTGTTAGGATCCCAGTTTGGGTAAATAATGTGCCCCCAAAACTGGGGCCAAAACACTATGAAAGTATAAAAATATTTTTTATAGTAAAATACCAGCAATAGTAAAAAAAAAAAAAAAATGCCAGCAATACATTTTTGTAAAAAAAAAAATTACTAATGCACCCAAGAAAATTTAAATGGCCCATAAATGCCATAAAACAAACAAACAAAAAACATACGTTAAATAATGAATATCGCATTGTACATGGTTCATATATTTTTATAATGTTCTAAATTAATACTGCCGAGGGAGTCAAATTTTTACTCACCCTATTTTATTTTATTTTATTTTTGCGGCACGAACGTTAAACATTGCCAAAACTTCTTTTGGTTACTTGGTGGAACTTAATCTTTGAGCGGTTAGCAAGATTGGCTATAGTTTGTATCGTGAGGCTTAATAAGCTGTCACAACATCCGAACAGCAAAAGCAATTAATCTCTATATAAAATTCTATGGCTTCCGTTAGTATGTCCGTCACATCATATAAATAGCCATACATTGACCGATCGAAACCAAATTTAGGGGAGAAGTGGAAACAGGTAAGGGGTTACAAAGTGCACTTGGTTTTACTCAGCTCCGTAGCTTAATATAATAATTTTTTCATTCATTTTTGTGAAAAATTTAAAAAAAATATTATTTAACAATATACTTCCACTATTTTAAAAACAATTTAATGATTAAAATAACAAATACTTCTATATAATAAATGCGAATGTTAGTCACCCTCTTTAAACTATACTTCTAGTGGCCGTAGCCCAACATATCATACTGTTTTTGAATCAGACTGACCCCGCGAGCAAATTAAAAACATTCCGGGTCGAATCCGGAGCCGCAATCCTGAAATTTTGGATTCCCAACTTTTCATTACTGTCAATTTTTTTGCACGATGGCAATTTTTATAACATGGAAATAAATTTGTAAATAATTGAAATTAATTGCGAAATCCAGCGAAAGTCACCTAAAAATAATTGTTTGTATGGAAAGTAAGGACCTACGTACATCACACTGTCTTTAAATCAAGTGGCGGCAAGTATCATTGAACTTTTAAAAGGTAAGCTTAAATATTAATGCAATACTTAAATGCAGCGATCATTTTTGAGTTCTTCTGTAGTTTATTGTTGCCTATCGCAGCTACTCCTCCCTACCTATTGTGATGAAGGTCCAATCAAGAGCCCACCGCAGGAGCTAGCTTAAATACCACTCGATAGTGTGGCTTTTAAGCTAATATTTAATAAAAATTCAGTATTGTTTTTTGCATACCTTTTCTTTAAGTTTTTATATATACAAGAATCTAATTTCCAGTTCGCTCTGCGTTTGCGAGAACTATAAACAAATCACAAGGAAATACGCTTCAAAAAGTTGGAATTGATTCCAGAAAGAAATATCTAAATGGTCAGTTATATGTTGCATGCTCAAGAGTAAGAAATCCTAAAAATTTATTCTTCTTTGTGAAAAAGGGAAAAAATAAATAAATTTTCTTAAAAAAATATTGTTTACCATGATGTCCTACAAAATTAAATTATATTAAAGTAATTATTGAACCGCGAAGTAGGATTTTTGTAAAAGTATTTTTCCAAATAAATCAGCTCAAATTTTATTGATTGGTTTGCGAAATTGAATGAAACGTAGAGTTTGTAAATCTCTACAAAAATGTTAGCGACAACTTCAACAATACTAAATACTTTGAGGATTTCAGCTGGCGTCAGCACGTTGCCAAAAGTTCTAGTTGAAATAAATAATCTTAATATTTAATAATAAGTTATTTGAGAAGACAAGTTTAAATATTTTAAAAACGTTTATAGTAATAAAAACTAATGCTATATTATAAAAAATCCATTAATTCCAAATTTATTTGAATTAACATGTAAATTATGTTTACCTTAGTGTTTTATATTTTTTTAACATTATTTTTCTTTTACAATTTTTGTTTATCGCCCCATATTATTGGTCGATTTGCTAAATTTGTTAATGAATAATAAGATTAAAATATATGGGGAAAAAAAGACGAACAAATTTATCTGACGTCTCAATATATTTTCCGGACAATAAAAATGTTCCGTTCTTTTAAAGACACGTTTTCTGTCGAACCTAGCCACGCCTTTATAAACAGATGCAAATATTTCAAGTCAGTAGCTGAAACAAGAGACCATTAAAGCTACTCACGCCATTAGACCGATATGAAAAAAAGTCAACACTATGAATAATGTGATCGAAACAATAAAAATCTCTTATCTCATAGTTACACATTAAATGAAATCATCACATCAATAAACTATCGTTTATTTCTAATTATATAGTTATGTAAATCAGCCATGTTACTCCATTGTATCTAAGGTTGATTATTTATACAAGTAATATGGAAATCCAACAAGGAACTTTATTCGAGCTCATGACCACAAAAACATTATGAACAAACTGAACTTTGTACAGACGATTATTTCAAACAAGTATATATATATATAGGAAGTATATTTATCTATTAGACATCTGAGTATATTCATATTTCTCTCACTTAAACCATCTTCGACTCCCCTCTTTAAAGCTTCTCTCTGTTAAATTTTAATCACCCCCTTCATCTTTAGACCTTCCTGTTCTTCTCTCGTCTGTTACCCCTCACTATAGCTTTCATTTACTCTAACATTCGTCCCAACACTCTCATACATACACTTTCACTAAATTTTATTTTTTATTCCCGGAGTTGTTTTTTTCTGTTTTCTTTTTGAATTTGTAGGTCTGATGAATTGAATCGTATTTACGATTCCAATGGAATAAATTATGACCATGTAATATTAGTGTTTAAGTCTTTTTATTATATATATATATATATATATATATATATATATATATATATCACTCTATTATCATTAATTCCGACCATTAAAGAATTCTCTTTCTAAAAAAAAAATAAAATCCCTGGAAAATTGCAAGTGTTGTATTTGCTGAAACATATAAAATAGAAATCTAATTTTGTTATTTTAGTATAATTCCCCTAATACAAGGCTCAAGAACCACTCAAGTAAGAAGGCTACAGAAAGAGGTGTTCGATACGCAGTGCCGGTTCAAGAGTCTAGCGCCTACACCCAATCCCCCCACTCTACTACATCCTCCAATTTTTTACTACATCTCAATTTTCATAAAGTAGTATTCATATAAAATATAAATTTTATTCTAACCTAATTATGTACAATAATGGATCTTATTCAATATAGATGAACAATTCAGCCAGAAAAATTCAAAATGAATACAATGTATCTAATTACAAATTAGAGACCTGTCATAATAGATCATTACATCTTAAATAAATCAACAATGTTTTGCGGCAATATTTAACATCAACTTGAGACTTGTTAAAATGTTAAATAATTTAACACATTCAAAAGCCAATATTGATTAGATAGTGAGGGACACATAGCACTTCCCAGGCCACCCAATGAGGATCTCCCCACACCTCGATTGGGGGGGGGTCGGGTTAGTAGGCACCGGTCCTGGTGATATTAATGTAAGAGAAATTAGTGAAAATTAAGATGATAAGAACTGACCACTGACAATAAGGTTAAGATTTAGGTATTCAGGGAAGCAAGTGTCTATTCCAATATTTAGCAGTTCTTGAGGAAAAGCTGTCAGGTTGGAATTTCCTACTTAAAATTAATAAGGAAAGTAAGAAGCCGAAATTGAGTTCCACAAGCGAGAATTGCGAGAGAAGAAACTGTTAGCATAGAACTTACGGTAACATTTCGCGATTTAAACTGTAACATGATTAGACCTTGCCGCCAATCTAGTATTGCACTTGAATTCATAAAGTCTAGGTATCAAAGACGAAAGCTTACCAGAACAATTAGCATGAAAATATTGATAGAAATGTCACAGGGAAGCTACGTTACGGCGGTGGAAAAGTAACTGAAGCCAAGATGCCATATCAGGATCAATAACATTGCAGATTTTTCTTTGTATTTTATTAAGTATCGCTAAATGCATAGCAGAAGCATCACACCAGCAATTGAAATACGAAAGGGATTCGACTATGTGAATATAGTGTTTTCTAGTAGTAAAGGTCTGAACTGGTGGAATTCAAGAATGGAGCTGATTTGAACATTGACCATGGAAATAACGATTTTATGGCGAGAGACTTGCAATGTTGTGTCAGCAATAAACAGGGAACAAGGAATAAACTTCTACCCTCGTTCAAAAGACCGGGGTGGAGGGTGAACCGGACAATAAGCGCACCTAGCTATATCAATTGTTCTTGAGAAAAATCTGAGTGAAACTTTCTCTTTACATTTGGAATACGGAGGAAAATGAGAGTAACTCATATTGCTGGATTCGACACCATGGAAGTAGCGCGTCGCTTCCTAGCAGTAAAGGTCTGAACTTGTGGAAATAAAGAATGAAATTGTTCTGAACATTTGCCATGGAAATAGCGATAGTGAAGCAACAGGTTTTGTAACGTTATTTGAAAGTAAGAACTAAGCATATGCAGCTCCGATATGGCAGAAATACTTTAAGTCTGATCTGATTTTTGTAAATAAAATGCATGGTAAAAAGTGTCAGGTATTTTCTGGATTTAATTTAAATATGTTCTTTACGGGTGATTAACCTTTTATTTAAAGCCAGAAAATATTTTTACATTTTAAGAATCTTTCGGGGGACAATAATGACTTACTTCTAATTGACCCATAGCTGGGTGGGAGAGGGAAAAGACTTGGACTCATACCTTTCTCAAGTGTATTTGCGTGTAAGTGAATGTAACGAATCCAACTGGAATTGGAACTCGGCTCCCCGATTTCCAATGTTATCCGTTATCCATGACACCACTCGCACATACAAGCTTACAGAACCTGGTATTCCCAAGCGGTCACTCATCTAGGTACTGATCAGGATCGACGTTGCTTAGCTTTTCTGATCGTACGATAGCCGGTGTTTTAACGTGATGTGACTGCAAGGATGCTACTTTCTGGAGTGGGTAAGGAATATTAGATTATTCGAAAAGTAATGTCCTATTTGGGTTTCGATAGCAAGTAGCTTTACACGAGGTGGATGTACCGACAAAACAACAACATTACAAGGGGGTGCTGAAAAGTTATCAGCAATATCGTACACTCTAATAGGTACTAGAATAGCATCTAGGCACCACTCTTTTAATGTTGAAATAGTTAAATGTAATTGTCACTTCTACTCCAACAGTTTCTTTTCTCCCATTTCCCGCCTGTAGAACTCCTTTTCATTTACTTGCTTCCCTTAAATCCACAGTCTTAAAAAAATTAAATCTAACATCAATCGCTATCTTCTGTCTTATTGAAACCTCTTCATCTTTTATCCGTTCCTCAATCCCCCCACCCCCATTCCCACTTTCACTCTCTGTAAATCCCTGCGTACAAGTCGAATTCCCGCCTTGCTTGGGGTGACATGATTAAAAAAATAAATAAATAAACCAGGTAGAAGAAGGTAAACAGTATTAAACCGAAGAAAATTGGTTTCTTTCCAAATCTTCGAAATGTCCATTTTCCTAGAAAGAATTTTTAAACCAGACAGAATAAAAAAGGTATCAAAAGAAAGTAAAATTATTTCGGATGAATATGATACATGAACGAAAGCTGCAACTTTCTTTACCTGGTTACCATAGAATCAGGATATCTACCTATATATTCATTAATTATGGAAACACTTTTATATATATATAATTATGTTTTGTTTTTGTTTTTTTGACTATTGCCTTCAGTTGTCTAACTGGGAACAAACTTGTTTGAATCAATCGTCTGTTTCTCCGGCTTAGCATGGGAATCCTTCCATGTTTTATCTTTACAAGAACCAGATTATACCATGAATGGAGTATTTCTGCTTTATAAAGAAAAGTTCAGTTTAACTTATCTGATAGACCGACTTAAGTGTTTCACGTCGAGCTTGTGTAAATAGACGGTGAAAAGGTTTAGGAGAGAAAACAAAATGCATTTATAGCAACGAAGGATAGGAAATTGCGGAGTGTCATGATCGCCAACGTCTTGAAGGGACACGGCACATAGAAAAAGACTGTTTTTGAGTTACAGTAACAAAGTCAGGAACTCGATTGTTGAGTTTCTCGTCAAACCTGACCGCCGCACTTGGGGGATTTATTCCAATCTTCGCTTATTTGACCGAATATTGTGGTAAGCTGTGTAAAAATCAAACAGGTTGTTTGGTCCTGGTATGTTTGTTTTGTTGTTCTCAATAGAATGAAGTAAAGCAATTACAAGAAAAAAAAACACAAGAACACACTCAGACGGCCGGCACGTACTAATCCCGAACCCTTCTGATCGGGAGTGGGGCAAGCTTCACTGATGGCCTCAGACAGTGCTTTGTCACCTTCACTATCTTATCAACATTTGCTTTTTTTTCTACCTACATTTATATATATATATATATATATATATATATATATATATATATATATATATATATATATATATATATATTACAAATTAAACTAAGCACAACTGACTATTGAAGCATGAAACATTTTCGCGGATTTTGACGTCATTCTGGTTCCTTTTGCTTTTCGTCCAAACCCGTGAATTTGTTTTGCTCATGCTAAGTCCCGAAAAAAATATTATATAAAATTCATTATTTTTTTTATTCATGTTTAATGTGTTATAATTATTCAACTTTTTAATAAGAAAAATTTGATGTCAAAAATTGCCGCAAGATGGAATGATCTATTAAAACATGTCACTATTTTGTATTGAGATACATTGTATTTATTTTCAATTTTTCTCGTTACATTGTTCACCTATATTGTATATAATCCATTATTGCACATAAATAGGTTGGAAAAAAAATTTATACGAATACTACCTTGCTGAATTGTTTACCTATTTTGCATATGACACATTATTATACATAATTAGGTTGCAATAAAATTTGTATTTTATATGAATACTACCTTATGATGTGGTAGAGTGGGGGTGTCTCATAGATCGGTGTTGGGGGGGAGCTACGAGACCCTTGCACCGACCGCGCACACACACAAATGCCGTTTGTGTAATGTATTTATTGCCTGTGTACAACGAATTCAATTTTACGGCCACTTCTTTGGCTTCTCATTTTTTTCTCAACGACGTCATTGTTACATTTTACAGCAATGCGTATATTCATCGTTTTCATAGTGCCAAGTGCTTATGTGCAAATCCGTTTTACACTTGCCAACAGTCGCATATGGCATGGGAGTTATATGGCACTGGTTCTTTTCCCTTTGCACGATAGTCCGATAAATGCTTGCATGCAGGCAATACGCCACAAAAGACCTGACGGTTGCGGCTGTATCAGATATCAAAAGTCGGGGTGCTAAGTTTAGATGTTTAGTTTTAAAGCTTCCAGAGTGTCCTGGGTATGACGATAAACTACATCGGGCAGCAAGGCCTCTGATCGAAAGCTTTTGTGGAACGTTGAACCAACTCTTAATTGCTGTTGTTTTCAGGTCAACCCTGACCCGGCGTGGTAGCAGCTGCTAGGGTCCCAGCTGGGGGCAAATAGCGAATGCCTAAACTGGGGACAAAGCACAATGGAATTATATAAATACATTTTTATAGATAAATACCAGCAATTCATTTTCATAATAAAAAAATTATCAGCAAAACATTTTTGTAAAAAAATTATCAGCAAAACATTTTTGTAAAAAAATTATCAGCAAAACATTTTTGTAAAAAAAATTATCAGCAATATATTTTTGTAAAGAAAGAAAATTATCAGCAATACATCTTTGTAAAAAAAAAGGAAATTATTAGCAATACATTTTTGTAAAAAAAGTAGAGCAATATATTTTTGTAAAAAAAGAAAATTATCAGTAATACATTTTTGTAAAGAAAAAAATTAGCAGCAATATATTTTTGTAAAAAATTATCAGCAATATATTTTTTTGTAAAAATAGAAAATTATCAACAATACATTTTAGTTAAAAAAAAAAGAAAATTATCAGCAATACATTTTTGTAAGAAAAGAAAATTATCAGCTATTCATTTTAGTAAAAAAAAAATTATCAGCAATACATTTTTGTAAAAAACTTATCAACAATACATTTTTGTAAAAAAAATTATCAGAAATATATTTTTATAAAAAAAAATATTACTAGCAATACATTTTTGTAAACCAAATTAACAAGACAGTAAAGAAAATTACATATATACCGTTAAACAAATGAACAAAGGTTCCAGATACTACAGTTTTTTATCTGATTCTCACGTAAAATGAATATTTCCATTAGAAACAAAGAAAAAAAAAGAATGCACAACTGCTATGTAATATAAGTCCTCCTATTTGGCAGTGAATGCTGGGTATGTTCTTCACGGATGAAGAGAAGACTTGAAACAACAAAGTAGTGCTTGAAATTTCGATGATACGTAATGAGAAAAGAAGGCTCCCAAAATTTGACACGAACAGGACATATTGATGGTAAGAGGGGTAGAGGAACCTACCAAAAAAGCTTGTGTAAATGGATAACAGAACAGGAATTAGAAGGGATAATAAAAGTACAAATATTTCTTACAGCAACAAAGAGTAGGAAGTTCCGGAGGGCCATGATCGCCAATGTCCTGAAGGAACACATGACATAGAAAAAGAATCATGTTCTAAACATGTTTTTATTATTTTGATTCTAAATGCACAATTTTTTGGTTGTTTATTTGTAATTATTTTCTCGAATAAGACTAACAGATTTTTTTCTTGTAAAATAAGATTGGTAATAATAGCTGTTTCCTTATGAGGAAACCTTTGGAAATTCACGGACCGAGTCACCAGTACTACTACTGTCGGTTGAAATTTATAAAATATTTCTTTTAAAACAATCTTTCAGGAAATTAGGTTTCTCAGATCCAGTAGCTCCCATCGTGTGCCACTGGGACCTCGGGGAGTCAATCGGAAGAATGAAAAAGGAAGAGGAAAGAGACTACTAACTGGATGATAATTATTAAAATTCTCAGGAAAGTGGATTGAAAAGTTGCGAAGAAAATTAAAAGCGAAATGCATTAAAAAATTATGTTTTAAAATAATAAAATCAAATCAAGAACAATTCCAAGGAGAATTTAACCCAAATTTAATCAGTAAGATTGAGCAAAACCAAGACTACCAGTACCCCACTACCACCACCTTCCCGCTGATAAGAAAGAGACAGTTAATGTATCATTGAAGATGTCGGTCCTAGAAAATAGAAAAAAAAATGTTGTCTGTAAAGAAAACGAGTGGTCCCCGAAATAACATCTAAATTGTTCTTGACAAAGAACCAGAAAAAACATCTGATTTGTGTCAGCCACTCAGACGAAAAATATCCCTCCAAAAATAATGATTAGCGCCTAAGATTGATGACGAGTTTGTTTGTTTTAATTTCTGTAACATTCGTCAAAATCTTTATAGCCGACATTATTTTGGATTTTCTGGAGTCAAGCTGATAAAGATTAATTTCTAGCTTGGAGTGAGCATAGGCAACAGGCTGTGTGGTCTGGTTGACCTAGAAATACATAAACAGAGAAAGATATTTTTTTTCTATTACTATTAAGATACTAAGGATATTTTCTTCTTTTTCTTGCTCATAACGACCGTGGATGAGCAAAACAATTCTTGCGATTGGCTGGCAGTGTGTCATCCGGATATCTCCGATTATTTTAGATATGGTCAAGTTCCTGGCTTTGGAAAATCGCCTAAAAGCCAACGTGAGACAAGCTGATAAAGAAAATTTAGATTTGTCAAAAAGACAGTAGTACCAGTTGGATGCTAAGTAGGTAGAAGGGAGAGCGATTAGCAGCGTCCATATGGAGCGATAATGCGAGATGAAAAGTGAAGGGAACAGGAGTTATGGCGGCTTGATTCCTCTGATCAAACTCAAAAGGCGGCTAGACAAACCCTAAATTTGGAAAATTACTCGAGTAAACATATTTTGAAAATATGTAATTTTAGAAAAAGTAGATGCCAAGTCAACGGACACACCAGACCCTGGTCAACCCCACACTTGCTAGACGCAGGACTCTATGTAAGCTGGAAGTTTGAACAACTTAGAGAGTCCCCACATTATAGCTGCTGGAATCCACATCGTTCGCCGAGACCACTTTGTGCCAGCCCTGAAGATCAGAATTTAGAAACTAAAATTACTACTGATACAAACTGTAAACCCCAAGAGGGAATCCCAGTATTATTTGATTATTGCAGAAGTGGAAAGGGTTAAAATCACTGTATACAACAAGCGTTGTTATATTTTTAACTCGACTTAATTCTTAAATCCAAAGAAATCTTTTTGTGTAACTGTCTTCATTCCAGTTTACTTCATCAGCGATCTTGTCACCCTTTGAGATCAAAAACACAACCTGGTAGAGGGGGACTGAAATGTCGTGAAGCACACAAATGCCCGATAGATGCAGTGGCACTATGCTCATCATCACGATACGAGCAACAAACCAGCAACGCGTTAACGTGTGAGGAGTCAGCTAGATTGTAACCACAGTGATTTGAAGGAACCTAAAGAACAACGCAGTGAGAAAAAGGGATACAATTTCCCTTTTCAGTGTGGATGGGGGTTTCCTTCCTAACCTTTTGTTTGAAGTAGTGCAAAACGTCAACATCTTGATTATGTCATTATGTTCTCTTCGGGGTACATGTCTATCTTACGTCCATATCACGTTAAAGCACCGGTTTTCAGACGATCGCCAAAGTTAAACAACGTCGAGCCTGGTCAATACCTAGACGGGTGACCGCTTGGGAATACCAGGTGCTGTAAGCTTGGATGTGCGTCTGGGGTAACTGATAATGGCTCAGAATTGTTAATCGGAGAGCCGAGTTCCAATTCCAGTTGGATTCGTTATTTTCATTTACCCCTGGGAAAGGTAAAGGTATGAATCTACTTCTTCCTTCCACCCCAGCGATGTGTTAATTTATGAGACTGAATAATTCTTATCGCTACTCCGAAAAACATTTACAGTCTAAAAATATTTTCTAGCTTTAAATAGCCTGAAAAAGGGTTGATAAGCCGTAAAAAACGAATCAATCAAAGTTACATGGGCTAAAGTTTTTAAGTAATGTGTTTTCTGTTAGTTGGTACAGTCAGTTTGGTGATGTTTGGTGACGCCCGGGAGCCAACTCTTTGTTTATATGTCCCTAAGACTCAAGTAGGGTGACCTATAGGGCCTAGTACTGAGAAATGATGAAACATAAAATAAATATAAATCAAATTTTTATTTCACTCTTTAATTTGATGCCCTCCTGATATGGATGCCCAAGGCCATCACACCTTCTGCCCACCTCTTCTGCTCTCTATTGTGTGCATGTATGTGTGTATGTGTCAGTGTTTGCATGTATGTGCATGTAAGAGTGTGTGTACGTTTGTGCACATATGTTTGTGTGAGTGTATGCGTGTGAGTGCCTGTATGAGTGTCCATGTGTGTGAATACATGTATGCATGTTTGACATGTATATGAATTTTATTTGATTTTATTTGGAGTTAATAAGATTGATATGATCAACACAGTGACATGCAGAGGTCTAGTGATGTTTGGTAATGCCTGAGGGTCAACTCCTTGATTGTACGCCCCTAAAACTCAAGTAGGGTGACCTATAAGGACTAGTACTGAGAAAATATGAGAAAGGAAGACATTTTAAATATGCAAAAACAAATGAAACATAAAATAAACACTTTATTCAAATTAAATATAAATTAAATTTTTATTTCATTCTTTGATTGGATGCCCGGGAGGGTGGCATCCTCTCTTCCCCTATCCTTCCGCTCGCTGTAAACTTGTACAGTTGTTTGTTTGTAATTCTTTAGTGGGAATCCACAAGATTTGATTAAGTCTAATCTTCACTAAGATCCATAGACGTTACTCGCTCAAAGACATTTTAACCATTGATCTGAGAAAGCTGTTGTTCACAGCTGATAGTTTAGATATTTAAGAAATACATTTAGAAGCTAATGTTTCGGAAAAAAATGAAGTAGAAGTTTTCTCTTTTAGTTTGAAAAATTAAAAGCAGTCATGATTTTAGACAATTGATACGAGCCTAAATCGTTTGAAACACAAACACAAGCCCGTACCAACTGGTGATGTTCAATCACCATCGGAACCAAAATCTTTGAACACACCAGAAGAGAAAAGGAATAAATCAAATAACAAGAGAGAAAGGCTCGACAAAATCGACCTCCACCAACATTACCATGCAGTCAATGCTATCAACTCTTCCATGTAAGAATTGGTCTATTTAGTCATCAACGCCATCATTTTAAAGGAAGCGATCAGGAAAATAAGAAATTAAATTCTTGGATACAAGATAAAGCCGCTGCCGACGACGACAACTCACCTCAGTAGTATTGACTCAGAGGACAAAGTTAGTCTTCTCAGAAGATTTTCAACTTTCTAGAAAGAATAGAAAAAAGTATTCGCAGAAGATTTTCAGATTTCTAGAAATAATAGAAATATAATTAATCTTCTCTGATTTCCAGATTTTTAGAAAGGATTAAAAAAATCTTTTCAAAAGATTTCCAGATTCTATCTAGACTATCCGTGACCCGTTGAGTCACTGACATTTCAGTTGATAAAACATTGAAGTTGATTTCAATATTCGATTGAAATGAAAATTAATTTTATTATGATTCAGTTAAATATTTCAATTCGTTCGAGTCATCATTGCTCTGGTTTACGAGTTCATGTTTAACGTTTTACTGATTGTTTATAGTGTTTAATAGGAATAGAAGGTCTGATATAAACTTGAACTCCAGTAACAGCATTTATTTATGGCATATGTGAACACTTGTACAAAATGCAAAAAGAATTGTTATATTACTGTATAAACAACGCGTATTTTTAAATTTTATTTACTTGAAATATTTTAAATCAAATGAACTTAAAAATAGTTTTAATATGCTAAAAATATTTTTAAATCATATTCACTTGATTATATTAAGATGTCTTTTTAAATATGCCAAAAAATATTTTTTTAATATTTAAAATATTGTGTGTTTAAAGAAATCTGAAATATAAATAATTACTCAACATTAAACATTAAACAACTTGACGAAACAGCAAAGAGATATCTCTTTTTTTTGTCTGACTTTAACTTCAAAATATTTTAATTAAAAAAATTGTCTGTTTGAAGAAAGTTAAAATAAAAATAGTTACGATCCGTATTTTTAAATCTTATTCACTTATGTTTTAAATCAGATTAACTTAAATCATTATGTGCCGGACGCACGCACCACGCAAGCACGCAATCACAGACTTTCAGCATTAGATAGATAGATAGATAGATAGATAGATAGATAGATAGATAGATAGATAGATAGATAGAAAAGTTCTCCTCAAATAATTTCTAGAAGGGATAGACAAATGTTTTTTTCAAAAGATTTCCAGATTCCTAGAAAGAATAGAAAAAAAAGTATTTATATCAAAATTTTGTTAATCTTTCAACTTAATAAGGACGTAGAATTTGAAGAATAAATTTAATTTTACTATGTTTTGGACATTTTATTTTTAATAATATCATTCTTTTTAAGCGAATTTTGTATCATTCTTTTTAAGCGAATTTTGGGAGGTAGCTATTTCTCTTTAGTTTTCAGTTCCAACATAAAGTAAACAAGAGGAAGACTAACACCCTACCCACCCCGCTTTCTCGATAGCGCTATTGATGAAGTAGTAGTACGAGTAACATTTCTGATTTCGATAACTCTAAGCAATGGGCCTTGAGAAAGGAAAACAATTCTCTTTATTTCCAAGAAGAGAAATAGGTTCAGGAGTTTGAAGAAAAGTTAGTCAGAACAGGACATTGTTTAGTTTTAATTTCTTTATTTTTAAATATGATCCACCCTGTCGTTTATTACGACCTAAAGTCGTAAATAATGGGTGTATATGTAAGGGAACACTCCTCACATTAAAGTACAGACCCTTATACAACATAGAGAGTCGAAAGATTCCGACACTAATGTTCACAGGAAATGGGCAATTGTTGTCCTTGGCCATAAGCGTAAGAAAACCCTCTGTTCACCTGATTATGTGTCACATGCTATCACTGCGGGGCTAGGTAAACACCGAAATTCAGTCGGCCTTCAGGCTGGGATCAAAACGTTGTATTTATTCTCTCTTTATCTGAGACTAGAGAAGGCGACCAGTCCCAGAGAATCCAGACTTGCGGCAGGACCTTCTTCATTGCTCTAAGAGATCAGTGTCATATCGACGTCAGTGGTCGCAAGGACTGGGTAATTTTGGGCACGTTTAGTCTGTTGCTTTCACTTATGTCCTTAGGGAACGCATAAATCCGTCTTAACTCCTCCCAGCTATGGGTTAAATAACATTTTCAGACCTTGGGTAGCAACCAGTCTAAGAGAAGGAAAACTACTCCACTATCTTCCTCAAGAAGTGTTGTGGTGTCCTCCCTCTAAAGAGCCTATGGTGGACTCTTCCGCCTACTATAAGATTAGTAGGAGTGAAGGCCTTGGGGGAACAGTCGAATAAATTTAACGCTGGGTCAACCGATGCACACTCACTAGTCGTGTAATACTCTTCTATTGTACTTACTGTTTAATATATGATATATCTGCAACACCTGTTAAGATGTTGTGACCAAGTAAATGGTTAAAGAATAACAAAACAGTCTATTCGACTGTTTCCTCAAGGCCTTGTCTCCTACTAATCTTATAGTAGGCGGAAGAGTCCATCATAGACTCTTTAGAGGGAGGACACCACAACAAGATGTCATGGCAATTCAAAGATAATAAAGAAAAGGAATCTGTGGAAAGTTACAATAGTCAAAACCCTGAAAAATTGTGGTCGCGAGTAGGTGAATATCGATCGTGTGTGAGGTGATTTTTTTGGTCATTGTTAATGTTCGGGTATATTCTTGTCTCCCGGGGTTTATAACAAAATTAACTCTAATGTCAGAGTTAGGCTCCGGAAGTGTGTTGATGACTAAAAAAAACAGTAATTACTTTAACTACTGCTACTATACAAATATCAATAGACTTCAGTCGATAATAAAGAACACGACTTATAACCAATCCGCTTTTTGACCTGCATTTGCAAGTGTGTATCACGTGCTATGGCCCAAGAGCCGCTCAAGATAAATGTTTACAGTGTAAGATTGTTTTAAAGGAAGGGTGGAGGAGAAATTTTAAAAAATACATATTATAATGACACATCAGGGGAGTATCCTCTCTGTTCCATAAAATAATAGTTTTGCGGAAGAATCTGTTTTAGTGGAATTTACTCCTCCTCAAAGGAACACGAATGGAATGTGAATGATTTGCCATCGTGAACACGGCGTGACGGGTCCTAGCTGTGAAGGTCTGAACTGGTGAAACTATGGAATGTAACTCGTCCGAATATCTACTACAGTAATAGTGATAAAGTAACGAGAGGCTAGCAACGTTTTATCTGTGGGATAAGGGTTTCGGGGGATAATCTATCACTTACAAGGCCACTTGGGTGCTTTTGAACTCTTTTGAGGTTGGGCAGCGCCAGCCAATTCTATCTTAATACGTCACGTTACGTCGTGAGTCCTGTAATCCATTAATGTCATAGCGGCGCCATATGTACTGAAGCCACAGCAACAGCAGTGTGTCTAGGGCAGTGTTTCTCACCCTAGAAGCAAATGAAAATATCACAGCAGACTTGGCAAAAGTTTTAAAGCGTTTACATTTAAAGGTTAGGAAATAACACTAGAGATTTTAAAAAAAAAAAAAGTACGTACAAATATGAACTTACTTTATTTCAATGTTTCTATTCAACTATTTGTGCGGCTTATTCAGTGTTAAACCTGTGTCCGGTGTTTTTTCGCGATTTCTTCAATGTTTGGTCGAATGTGTGATAAGCAAACTGCCATTTCTTCTTCAATTGAGCAGAAAAATTTTGAATTATACAAAGAATGTTGAATACAATTATATGAAAAAAGGTTAATATTCATTTATTCAAATAAAGGAAAATTCTAAAAAATTAAAAAAATACTTTTTAAAAAAATCAATATTAAAACAAAGTATTTAAAATAACATAATCGAAAAATAGGGAAAAGAATTATTTGAAAAAAGAAAAATACGCTTAATTACTGTTTCCACACACACGCACACACGAACATACGTACACACACATATATGTGTATGACGCGACAATACTTCGCGGCACACTTAAGAGGATCGCGCGGCACAGCGGTTGAGACCCACTGGTCTTGGGCAAGATAGCCTGACGGAGCCCAACTTTTTTTCAGGTTGTTATTGAATTTAGTTTTCATTCCCCTAGACTGGTTGCCAACTCGGATAAAGAGATCCAAGTCATCGCTGCCATTTATAGGAGAGGAGACGATTTCATACAATTTCCCAAAGGCATGCTAAAGTAAACGTAACGAATTCGATCTGATCTCGATTTCTCTTTTCCTGTAGTTAGTGACTAAGCATAAACTACAAGAAGTCAGAGTGCATGGTCATCTACAAAAAGATAAGCTCAAAATGCAATTTACAGGTCGGAAACACTAAATTCAAGCATGTATAAAAATTTAAATATCTGGGAAGTATTCTAACAGAGGACGGAAAGTGCGACAATGTGATCCGAAGAGCTATTGAGATGGCCAAAGACGCAATCCAAAAGCTAATCAGAGTATTAAGAGACGAGAAAGTTTCATTAGAAACAAAGAATGCTATATCATGTATGATATCTGTCCTCCTTTATGACAGCGAATGCTGGACAATCTCCTCAGAAATGAAGAAGAGATTCAAAACAACAAAAATGTGGTTCTACAGAAGGATGCTAAGGATACCATGGTCTGAACATGTGAGCAACGACGAGGTTTTGGAAATAATGAAAACAAAGATGAAACTTAGACTTAACATCAGGAAGGGACAGCTGAAATTTCTGGAAATTTCTGGGACACGTGATGAGGGCTTGGAAAATCTGATGCTCACAGGACGGATAGAAGGAAAGAGGGACAAGTGAAAGCAACGCGAAACATACTTAATAGGCTTGAGCAAGTGGATGGCAGAACAGGGTCTGGGAGAAATAACAAAGACAAAATTTATTAAGTGCTGCAAGGGACAGGAAGATGTGGACGGTCATGATCTCCTACGTCCTGAAGGGACACGGCACATAAAAGAAGAAGTCACTACACTTCTTCTATGTGCTACGTCACTTTAGGACATGGGCGATCATGGCTCTCCAAAATTGTGGCCCTTATCAGTGTTTCTCCATTTACTCTGGAATCTGTAAGAAGCCATGACCGCCTTCACCCTGAAAGGATATGGCGCTAAACATTTTTCTCGACATGTGCAAAAGATTTTAATACGAAATCTTAAAAATGTTACTAAATTAAATTAAAAAGATATCCATTTTTTTTTCTTCGAAAAAGAAAAGCTGAATTTTTTGTATGAAAATGTTCGTTAATTATAATGACTTTGACTATAAAAATCCTACTTACATCACCCATATTTTGCTGTAATCCGGAAGCTCATTGGATGACAGAAGGGATGCAATTTCTCCCACACACATACGAACCAGGAAATATATTTTACTTTTTACCCTATATGCTCATATATAAGACGACTTCATGTATAGTTCGACCCCTAATAAATATCACTGAATGTATTTTCACACTTCCAGAAAAAATGACCTGTGTATATAGTGCAACTGGTCACCGAAAATGTATGATTTTTAAGCTCTTCAAAATAATTATCTGTGTATAACGCGACTTCCTATTTTTTGAGTAAAAACTGATCATATAATCTCGCACTATACCCGATAGACACGATAAGTAAGACAATGGTGGTGGTGGTGGTGTTGGTGGTGATGCTGTTGTTGTTGTTGGTGGTGGTGATGATTATGATGACGATGTTAGGTTTATGTATTTGATTTTATATTTTAATCTTTTGTGGTATATTTTACAAAGTTTTTTATTTTAATAATAGTTTTGAACTTAAATTTTATTAACTGTGCAGCCGCGGATAAGTGAAACTATCGATTATGTGACCCAACAGTAGATCATTACTGATTACTGATTCGATTCGAACACTTTTATAAACGTGACTTAAAAAAAGTCTATCGTGGATTTTACAAAAATTTAAATTAAAACTTAAACTACTGGTTACTGACTTTTTTTAATTTCTTTATGAGTGTGTGTGTGTGTGTGTGTGTGTGTGTTGTGCACTCCTTTCGTGGTTTATTTCAATCGACATCCATTGGTTTATTTTGTGGTGTGTTTTTAGCTGCGGGATTTTACCACAAATTAATGTGTGGGTGTAATTTACCGAGAAAAACAAAACAAAACAAAAAAGGCATTTATTTACAAGCTCACTGGTTCAACATACAAGCCAGACACGCAGGAAAGAGAATAGTGGTTGTCAGTCGTGACTGCGATTGGCTAACAAAATCGTGACGTCACGATTGTAGTTGCTTGGTGTGGTCGACTCCGTTGACAGCAAAAGCTTGGAAGGAAAGAAGAGGTGAAAAGACCGAAGTGAGTGTGCTGAGGAAAACTGCTGATCGAACTTCGTTTCACCCACCCTTTAAACGGTGAAGAAGAAGAAGAAGAAGAAGAAGAAGAAGAAGAAGAAGAAGAATGAAAACGAAAACTTTTAAGAAAAAGAAAATCAGTTCTCTTCTTTCACCCTCTGGCATTATCCAACTGGTTCTTTTTCTTTTTAAACGTCTACACTATATTGGTCACTTGTAAACAGTTCTCAATTTATCAACACATTTCCCCTTTTTAGTCATGAATTCTTTCCGTCACTTCCTCTCTCTCTCTCTCTCTCTCTTCGTCCTTGAATCACACTTTCTTTTTCTTTGATTTTCTTTCTACTTAATAGCTAAATGTGATAATGGCTGGCAGCTCTTTCCTGACTATGCCTGTCTGCTGATACACAGATGTCTGCTCAGGCACATTAATGTTTTTCAACATAGAGCCAACCTATGGTTTATACTGTAACTATACTGAGCGGACATTAGTTAGTTTCTGGGAGCGGACAATCATTGACGGAAGGCAGTTTCCACGCACGCCGACATAATGAAGGAGTTATATTCCCGACAAATCGACCATGACGAGTCTCATGGTCAGAAAACTAACCACTCATACTCGAACCACTCGGCCATGAACCCAACGGCTAATGTAATCAAGTGACAGTTATTAGCGAAGGGAGCGAAATCGACGAGTTCAAATTCTGCTGCGTTCGCATAGAAGCCACTGGGAAAGGCATGATTCTATCTCTTCTAATCCTATGGATTAAATATCAGAGAAGACTACGCTCTCTAAGCCTTGAGTGTCAGCCAGTTTAGAAGAAAAACGATGAATTCAAAACCGTGAAGTAAACTTTCTAATATATATTACAAGGGATCATGGCAGTTCACAAATAATATCAGGTTGACATTATCAAAAAATGGAACGCTTAACTATCGAAAAACTTTTCTGTTTGCCATTAATTTTCTCTATAGTACATAGACTATGAATTTAAGCGCAATACTAGATTGACGGCAAGGTCTCATCTTTTCACAGTTGAAATGTTTACATGTAACCGTAAATTCTATGCTAACAGTTCCTTCTATTGTATTTCTCGCTCGTGAAACTCTCTTGTGTCCCAGTCAACTCCAAAAATGAACATCCACTGTTGATAAAGCAGGTTTTGTTCGGGAATTTTCTTCCAATTCTTCACATGTCTCATCTGGACTATCTTTGCTAAAATTTCCACTTGAAACTTAGTGATATGCATAGAACCCCTTCCATAGTTTCTGCTATCATCTTTAAATCTGATCCCCACAAACCATGTGGATTTGATAGTATCCTTGCAATAGTCCTTAAGAAATGTGCCCCTGAACTGGATCCTGTACACTAGCTGTAACGTAAATGCCTTGGTGCTTGTTGGAAATCCTCTTCTGTAGTTCCAGTCTTTAAGAACTCAGGCGAACCGTTTGATCCTTCCATCGGCATATTAGCCTTCTATTTCTTTTTGGCAAAGTACTAGCGGTTCTAATCAACTCTGAATTGGTTAAGCATCTCACATCGGAGGACCTTCTTTCAGATAGGCAACATGGCTTTCGCTTCTCTAGGCCAACTGTTGATGTATTAACCATTATTGAGTCTAATTTTAAATAAGAATAATGGATCAGTGTTGCTTTGGACATCTCTAAGAAATTTGACATTTTCATAAGTTGAAAGATTATGGTATTTCTGGACGAATGTTTAATCTGATTCAATCTTTCTTATCAAATAGCGAAATAAAGGTTGTCCTGAATGGCCACTCTTCTACATCTTTTTACATTAATGCAGGTGTCCCTAGAGGCTTTATTCTTCTACCTATGTTGTTCGTAATTTTCATCAACGACATTCATGATGTTATCAGTTCCAAACTCGTTACGTATTCTGGTAAAACAACTATTTACTCCTATCTTAATAATAAATCTGATCGGTTCGATTAGTTCAAATTTGCAACTGAGCTGAAAAATGACATACAATCTGTTGTTAAGGGCGGCAAGGAATGCTTTGTTAATTTTAACGCCTCCAAAACAAAACTGCTGTCTTTTAATCGTCTGAAAGAAACATTTCAGCCTTGTATCAGCTTAGCTGATGCTAACAACCAGGAGAGTGACTAATTACCACTTCTCTGACAAACGTTTTCCGCTGACGAAGTGGAAAGATTGAATTGAGTCAATTGTTAGATCTGCTGCTAAGAAAGTTGGTTCACTGTGTTGTGCTAGACAATTTTACTCGACAGAATCTATCTTACACGTTTATAAGTCTATCACTCACCCATGCATTGATTATTGCTCTCACATCTGGTCTGGTGCTTCTGCTACGTATTTAGAGATAGATAGTATTGATAAAATACAAAGAAGAATCTGCAATGTTATTGGTCTTGAGCTGATATCTCTGCTTCAGCCACTTTCCAGCCGCCGTAATATAGGTTCCCAGTGTTTTTTCTATAAATATTTTCATGGTAACTATTCTGATGAGCTTTCCTTTTTTGTACCTAAACTTTATGAATTTAAACGCAGTACTTGATTGGAGGCATTTTACTGTTTAAATGGCTGGATGTAACCGTAAGTTCTATACTAACAGTTTCTTCTCTCGCACTTCTCGCTTGTGGAATTCCCTTCCGGTTTCTTGCTTTCCAGTCAACTTTGATTTTCAAAAATGTAAATGCAATGCCAATCGTTATCTTCAGTCTACTTAATTCCTCTTTTATTGTTCTCGCTCTTTAATAATGTTTTATATTTCTCATATTATCTCACACTCAGTAACTTCATCTCCATTTTAGTGGCATTATTGCCTTGCTTGATGTCGTATTTTGCTTTATTTGGGCGTTTCCAAGTCAAAATTTGCATCTTGGACAGTTCCATTTGTTGACAATCATCCATTCCGTCTTCTAGTAATTAATGTTAATTCCTTCTTCTCGCTTTCCTTTCCTCCTGTAGGAAATCTTATACTTTCCTTTTCGTGTCTGCTATCAACACTGTGTCATCTGCCTATCTTATGTTGTTAAGATTGTGGTCAGCAATAAAGAATCCTGACTGGACTTCTAATTTTCTCAGGATCGATTTTCTTTTTCGTGTTATTTTTTATTTTTCACCTTCAATGTTAGAATCTACTCTTTTGGGAAAACTTATGAATCCATCTCCCCCGCCCCCAGCTAGTGGCTAAATAGCAAATCAGACATGGGTTCTCTAGAATTGGTTGGCATCCAGTCTAGGAGAAGGACTATTCTGAATTTAATACTGACTAGGTGTGACGCCGACGTCACTACGGAAACCACAGCAGCCAAACCCGAGGGAGTCTATAGGGCTTGTGTGCATACAGTGCTAAAACCAACGAACAAAAATATGGCAATTTTGGCAACATTTAAAGAAAAGGTATTTCATTGCTGTCATAATCGTTAAAAACTAAACTAAAATGGCATATAGCATTATAAACAGATTGAACATTTTTAGTTTAGCCAATATGTTTTCTCCGTTGTTTACGACTTTCTTTTTGTTTCCTCATCATTTGTTCTCATTCACTTTCCATCACACGATGCAGTTCATTCTTTTTTTTTTTTTTCTTTTTTTTTTAATCAGTTTTTTTTTTAGTTTTCTTTCTTTCACTTGCCAAACTCCCTTTTTTATTCATTTTTTTTCTTTTTCCTTTTTGGTCTTAAACTTGCTTTGTCCATTTCTTATTAATTTTTTCCTTCTCGGTTTTTGATTTGATTCTCATTTCTATTGTCAGATTTCTTTCTTTCTTTCTTTCTTTTTTTCTTTCTTTCTTTCTTTCTTTCTTTGGTCCCTCTTTTCGCTACTATTCTCTCTCTCTCTCTCTCTCTCTTTCTTCCTGTTGTTTCTTTCTTTTCCCGTTTCTATTCTTTCTTTCTTTTTTCTTTCAACTTTTGTTTTCTTTTTCGCCCCTATTCTTTCTCTATCTTTATGTTTTTTCTTTCTTTCACGTCAGATCTTTCTTTTTTCTTTCTTTCGTCTTTTTTCTCTTTTCGCCGCTATTTTTTCTCTCTCTCAATTTCCAATGTTTCTTTCTTTCTTTATGTCTGTCTGTCTATCTTTCTTTCTTTTCGCCCCTATTCTTTCTTTACCTTTCTATTGTTTCTGTCTTTCACGTCTATTCTTCCTTCCTTCCTTCCTTCCTTCCTGTCTTTCTTTTCCTATCTTAATTTCTTTTTCCTTTTACATCTATTATTTCTTTCTTTCTTTCTTTTTCTTAGTCTTCATTATTCTCTAATTTTTCTTTACCTTTTACTTCTCATTACCTCCCCCCCACCAATCACTAGTCAACACTTCAAATACTTTACATATTTCCTTATTTTATATGTGAAAATGGAGAATAATGATTGGTAGCTGTAGATATACCCTGTTGTTGTTTGTTCATACACTCTATAATTAACACGTCTCACTGTTTGCAACCTCTTTACAAACTAGTTGTTATCAGTGACGATTTTCTTTTATATTTTAGCTTAACTTTCCTTTTACATTGTCACATTGTCAGGTAATAAAGTTTGTTTTTGAGAAAGAAAGTAAAAACGCCGAGGATAAAGTCCTTTTGTTATTTTATAATAAGTTTCAATAAAATTCTCCTGAGCTGAGCTGTTTGTTAGAGATATTAGCGTCGTCACCTGTGGATAATAAGTGTGACCGGATGGTTAGAACATTAACATTTGGACAATGAAGCTGGGGTTCGAACTTCAGCATAATCGATTTTTTTTTTTTTTTTGAGAAAAGAAACTATTGACATAAAACAGGGATCGGCAATCTCCGGACCGTGAAGGATTATTGTCCGGCTCGCCAGCTTAACACCTGGACATTAATTATTTAATTCATTTGCGGAGCAAGTGGCAGAAAAAAAACATCAGTTGCAGTTAAACGACTTACAATGCGACAAATTTTAAAATCAAAACTTCATTCCGAATCCACTGCTGACTTCAACAAGAAATATGTTTTGCTAAGCGGAAAATCCGAAAGCTATTGAATAATACGAAACTGATGGTATCATTATTTGGAAGTACAGGGTGGTTCGAAAGTCTTGTCACCACCTACTAAAAAGTAATGAGAACAATAGAAGAACAAGTAATACAATAATACAAAGCAAATGAACTAGATTCAGTTTATTAACTTTCATTAACACTGTCATCCATCGAGAAGGTTTGTATGAACACGATCATTTTCTTGTCAGCCATCTGAAACCGAAAATTATATTATTTAGAGGTGACAAGACTTTCGGACCACCCTGTACATATACTTGTGAACACCTTTTTTTTTTTTTAAAAAAAAAAAAAAAATGAAGCACACAAAGAGTCGTTTAAGAAAAGATTTGGTGATGACCACCTGGATCAAGTTTTGCTCCTGTCATCGACAAATATTTCACCTGATGTGGAGAGGCTATCAAACAATAAGCAGAAACAAGTATTACGTTAGATAATTTGCCATTTCTGACTGTTTCGTTTAAAGTAAGGAATTTGCATTTTTTGTTGTTTGTGTTATAGTTGTTATCCTGTTATTCTTGTGGTAAAATAAGGAACCTTGTTTAAATAATATAACATTCACTTGCTTTTTCTTTAAACTTCCAGACCAAGTCAGCCTTCTGGATGGTCGTAACAATTATAGTAAATTTGATATCATGGCTCTCCTCCGAGACGCTGCATAACTTTGTGGTCCGCTCTCTTCAAAAGGTTGCCGAACTCTGGCATAGAGTTTACTCAAATTATGATTTTTTAATAATATCGTCTTTCATGATTACAGGTGAAGTGCAACGGTTTCGTAGGCTGCCACCAATCTAAGATATGGAGGCCCACACGAATCTATGATATACCCACACATCCTACTACATCTCAATTTTCATAAGGTAGTATTCATATAAAATACAAATTTTATTGTAAACTAATTATGTACAATAACGATTCGTTTACAATATAGGTGAACAATTCAACGGGAAAAATTGAAAAATAAATACAATGTATCTAAATACAAATTAGAGATCATAATAGATTATTACAAGTTAAATAAATCAACAAATGTGTTGCGGCAATTTTTAACATCATCTTGAGATTTTTCTTGTTAAAAAGTTGAATTATTTTAACACATTTAACATTATCGATAAAAAAAATGGTGAATTTTATTTAGTATTATTTTTTTTCGAGACTTAGCATGTGCAAAACAAATTCACAGATTTGGACAAAAAAACAAAAACAAAACAGAATGACGTCAAAATCCGCGAAAATTTTCCATCCTTTATTAGTTGTGCTTAGCTTAATTTGTAACGTAGATAAATATAGGTAGAAAAAAGCAAATGTTAAGATAGTAAGTGTCACAAAGCAGGGACCCCCAATAAGACTCCTCCCTCTGTGTGGTGGGGTGAATTGTTCGGAGGTAGTATGCACCGGCTCTGCATGATTAGAAAGTACTTGAAAACCATATCCCGAGTTGTGATTGAAAGTGGGTAGGCGTAACTGTTCAGAAGTTGTTGATGTTTTTTCTAGTACATAGTAACAAGTCCTGAACTAATGAACAAATAGAAGGATTTTTGTTTAAACATTTCACCACAAGCAAAGCGGGAGTGCCATTAGCACGCAAGGGGTTACAGAGGGGGGGGAGCAAGATTAAAGAGACGTGATAGAGGAAAAGATGAAGAGAAGGACGGGGAATAGATGAAGGCATCTGGAGATGTCGATTGACATTTCATTTGAATATTTGGAGATTACAGCTATCAGGGAAGCAAGTAAGAGAAAGGGAGTTCCACAGGTGGGAAGTGCGAGACATGAACCTATTGGAGTAGATGAGACGGCTACATATAACCGTTTCGACAGTGAACGGTTGGGACTGAGATGCCAACCTAGTAGCACGTTTAAATTCATGCAGTTTGGGACCCAGCGAAAGTAGCTCGTAGGAGCAGTTACCGTGAAAGTATTCGTAGAAAAGACTGTAAACGATATGCCAGATCAGGGCCAATCACATTGCATATCCGACTCTGGATTTTGTCGAGGGCCTTACGATGAACATCGGGGGTTCCAGACCATATATGGTAGCAGTATTCCATGCAAGGGCGAATGGTTGAATTATAGATTTGAAGGATGGATTCGATCGAGAAAAACTTTCTGGCGTAACATAGAAAACCAACTTTCTTTGCGGTATATGAAGCTATTGATTCAATGTATTTGTTCCCTCTCAGGGCAGCGGACAGTGTAAAGCCAAGCAGTCGTCGAGAGGGGGGAGTTGAGTATCAGACATTCTAATGGGAGACTGGGAGGGTTCTCTGTGATGGGTAAAAGAGTGCAGTTTTGTTTTTGAGGCATCAAAGTTAACCAGTCATTTCTTGCCCCAGTCAACAACAGATTGGAGGTCCTTTTTGAGATCAACGGCCAGGTTAGATTTGTTAGCGATGCCGGATTTGCTATTTTTAACAATGGTTAGCAATCTATCTAGATACGTTGACACGATTAAATCAACCCGGCGAGGCTATATAAACCTTAAAAAAATATTTCACAATGATTAAAATCTTTAAAAAAAATAAAAAATATATTTGTTTTAGTATAATACGCGTTTTTTATGTACAAAAAAGATAAAACAAAACTGCCCTGCGCCTGCGCCTAATACAACCGTATCGGTAGGTTAGGGCCTCGGATGAGCCTGAGTCCGTTTGGCACAAAAATTGTTATTAGTAATAAAATATTGAAAACAAGTCAAATTACTACGCTAAATTGTGTTACTAATAATATAATATCTACTTTTCTAGTTTTGAAAATTTAATTTAGTTTCCTTTGAAACTATATCGTTGCATGACGTCTACTGTTGCAATATTGTAGGCTTACATTTAGTAGGTATGCACTTACATTTTAAAAAAATTACATTCATATTTATTTGTTACAACCTTATTTGTTCAAAACTGTTTATGTGTATTTGTTTAACACTTTACTTACATTTTTAGTAGCTTAATCTCTTAAGTGCTCAAAATATCCTCGTACAACATTTCAACATTCCTTGAACCTTTTGGAATACTATGACACAAAGCACGACACAAATCCTGATTTGCATCAATTTCAATAAATACTTCTGAGATGTAGTCTTTTAATTTATCCAGTGTGTGGGGATTTCTCTTATGAACCTTGTTCTTTACTACACCCACCCCCAAAAAGGAATCCATTGGTGTTAGGTCAGGTAAACGTGGTGGTCATTCGATAATGTTCCTTCTTCCGAACCAATGCTGTGGAAAGGTAGTTCCTTACTGCCAAAGTATAATGGGAAATACTACAACTAAGTGAAAGAACAGTTTGGCGAAGTTGGCTCGATAATTACTTTAATACCCACTGAGTCAGAATGAGTAAGTGTTAACGGTTGTCTCAATTAAATTATAAGAATGTTGTCAATCTTTTCATTTTTACCCACTTCTTAAAATAACGATCAGTATTCATATTTATAATTGGTATTGCAATATTTTATTAAAGTTGTCAAGATCAAATATTTAACGATGTGATAGTGGAATTTCTATGGAATTGTCTTATTGTCGTAGAACTCGCCAAGAGTTTATTCAATCATGAACTTAAGAATTAAGATTCATCAGAAATTTTAAATAGAAAAACCGTGAAATTTTCACCGTTTAAAACCAGTTTATATAATTTGCATTGTTTTGAAACGCAAAATTTACACAGTATTTAGAGAAAACGTACAGACATATTCACATAAAATTGCAACAACCTTGAGGCGAAAATGAGCTCACACTTGGAAGAACAAGATTATAAACAAACACACATTCCAGTTGCTAATCGTTATTCCTATTTCTATGTCTATATTTGACATGAATAGAAAGATTATAATGTTCTTAATATCTATGTAAACAATTTTAAAAAAATGTAGGTTTTGGAGAGTGATTTAAATTTTTGTTGCATTTTATCACATATTCTTGTGTATAATTCGCACTAACTATAATACGGCCAAGTAGTACAGCCATCTCTACGTATTTAAAAAAAAAATTGTTCCATATTATCCGCTAATATCTTATTGTCATACATATATTTACACTGTTTTTTACTGTTGTCCTTATCTTTATTGCCATATTCACGACGTTTCAACCGTTGTACACTCCGACATTCTTCAGGTGATATATGTTGGAATTTCGAACCGAACCCTTTATTTAGTCCACGGGGTTAGATTTTCCTAATTCCACGCACCATGTTTTTTTTTTTTTTTTTTTTTTTTTGGGTGTCTCAGTTTCAGTTAATTCCCTTTAGTAACGCAACTCTCCAAGATTTTGTATCCCTCTGCTGTGGCCTGGTATTGAACTCACAACGCGTGGAATTAAAACAATCAACCCCCACATAGACTAAATAGGGTTCTGTACGAAATTCCAACGTATACCACCTGATATTGATATACACTGTACCCCTTCTCAATATGAATTTTTTTGAAAATTTTATTTATTTGTTATAAAAATTAAATGATAGCATTTTAGTTGTGGATAGGTCCCCCTTTTTTTTTCCTGGCAAGCAACATTTTTAGATCCAGTTCGTCACTGGTTATTTTCCATCAATGTATGCATTATACAAAAATAGAATACAGAAATGCCACGAGATCGTGGGAGTTACAGGGAGTTAAAGTGAATGACAATGAGATGATTGAAAGTAGAGAAGATTGAGGAAAGAACAAAAAAGGGTTCAAAGAAACAGAAGCATTCAAACCACGTGGGTAATTATTCTATTAACAATGTTTTGTTGGAGCATGTTTTCTGGTTATTCATGTATCTGCATATATAAAACGCAATGTTTTTTCGCTGTCAACATTAGTTGCATGACTGGCTGTGGTCTAAGGGTCGTCGCGCAGCTGAGTTGAAAACAAGTAAGGTATTCATCCGTAGCGTGTCTTGAGTAAGTAGACCTGACGGAACCCATTCCTCTCTTTGTTAAACCGCAGCCGATATCCCCCAACTTGAAGGTTCAGCCTGGTCATAGATACGTGGCCGTTTATTCTATCGTGTGGAACCTCTGCCCTGGCCGTTGATATTAGTTTAGTAAGCCCTCCGTCCAGTGATGTCGTATCATCACATCATGGGCTGCATCCATATCTAGGAAATCCACTCTACGTCACTGTCCAAGACTGTCGTTGACCTTGCAAGTGTGTTCATTTACCGGTCAACATATCTTTTTCTTACTCTTGCTTTTACAGTTTATCTCTTCTTTCCTCTGTTACATCCTTACCTCTTTTTCTTTATTTCGTTCGTCCGTTCTTTCTTTCTTTCTTTCTTTCTTTCTCATTCTGCATTCTCCCTAATGCTTCTTTCCTTTTTTCATTTCTTCATTAACTTCCTTGTCTTTTTTCCATTCACATTCTCCATACTCTATTTCCTTTATTTCTCCCAACTACCTTTTCTTTCTTTCTTTCTTTCTTTCTTTCTTTCTTCTCTCTTTCCTTTATTTTTCCCGACTCCCTTTTCATTATTTCTTTCTTTAATTCACTTCTTTATCAACATTTTGCAAGGTTTTTTTTAATCGTTTCATCCCAAGCAAGGCGACAATGCCCCTAAGACACAGTGGGTTACGGGGAGTGAAAGTGTATGAGAATGAGAAGATTGAAAATGGGGGGTGGTAAGGAAAGGACTAAAAAGGAGACAGAAGATAGCGACTAATGTTGCATTTAAAATTTTGAAGACTGTAGTTACCAGAGAAGCAAGAAATCGAAAGGCGGGAAGTGCGGGCAAAACAATTAGAGTAGAAATGGTGGTTGCATCTATCTCGTTGAACATATTTTTTACATTGTAAGAATTTTTTTTGAGATAATAAAGATTTAACCCGAAACTGCTGATTCCTTATCTAGAGCTGTGACAAATTGTTGCATAAGGCATAATTTTAAGTGCAGTGGAGGAAACAATACTTCCCCGGGGATCCAACAATGGCTCCCATTTGATGTTGTTCCTCCCCTCACTGAACTCGGTCTGCTGTGACCAGTCCCACCTGTGGTAGTTGCCGCGATGTCCATGTTGTCCCAAAGGCAAAGATAACACGGAAACTTGTCAAAGACCTTTGGAGACCCACCAAGAAGGCTAGTATTTTGACGTCCCCAATAACCTCCTAACCGTACTCTTCATACTTCAAGGCATCTAGCAAGATCTTGATACTGCCGTATTCCTCTTTGAGCTGACCGAGTGAGCCAGGGAAAGAGATGGATATATTTTGCCATTATGAAGCAGCATGGCTTTAAAGCTCCTGGATGAGGTATCAATGAATGGGCGCCACTCGCTGGGGTTACAGGCGATTGAAACGAACGCGAAAAAACCGATCACATTGTGGCAGAAGCAGGTCACCAAAGCAAAGTTTGAAGGAAATAATAGTCATTTCCTTTACTTTCTAGACAGAAGCATTTAGGAAATAACACTTACTGCCTCAAAACAAAAACAAAAAAAAGGTAAAATTAAGTGTTATTATTCAATTGCAAAATAATATGCAACAATGCAGATAATCGTTATCTTTAACGAATTAATGTAATTATATTTAATCTAATATTTTTTTATTATTTCAAACCTTATTATAGTGGATACTCTTATTTGAAATAAGAGCTCCATTATTTGGTTTTATTTTAAACAGTGGCTATTACGTCTATCGGCATGTGTATTCGAAAAATGTTAAAGGAAATGTGCCCTTCAGCAAGAATCGAACCTGCGTTATCCTTTGTAGGATGAACCATCATTTGAACCGGCCTCAGTTATAATCCAGCAACATTAGCGGTGTGAGGAGGAGCATCATCCTGCTTGAACCACTATTCCTCCTCATCAAGGTCCTCACGCTCCTCGAGCTCCCCTCATCTGAGAGGCCACTGCTTTGTTTCAATCATTGTGAAACACCCTGGACATTAAGAAAGACCTGCCTGCCTAGGAATTCGGTTTTAATCTTGATTCAAAAACTAATCTTCGCCATTTGTAAGCAATAGTCTAAAACAGAGATATAGATCTTTTAAAGAAGGTACATTTTCTCACTGAAATATTTTTCTCGAAACCCTATAACTACTCAGTATCCGAAGCGTAAACAAAGCAATTCCTAAAGAATTAGTGGAATTATTATGAATCCCACATTTTTATTACATCCAACGTTATTATAGTGGATACTTGTATTTGAAAGATGCCCTATTTTTTTCATTTTTTATTTTAGACACTGTGTATTATCTTAAAACTTAATAAAGAAAAAGGTGCTCTCCGGTAGGGATTGAACCGTCATCCTCTTTATTAAAGAAGCCACCGTTTAAACCGCTTTACCGCTTGGCTATTTAAACAGGAAAATACGCACTGTTTAAAATAAAAACATAAATGGAGTGTCTATTTCAAATTCAATGTAATAACGCTTGAAGTAATAAAGAGGTAATAGTTATATGATAATACATATAGTAACAAATAAAATTAAATGTTTACTTATCTGTTCTTACTTGCGGAAATTATATCGTCAGAGGTCATGATCATAAAATGATGAGTGGATGTAATCTTTCTTTCTTTCTCCTCCCTGTCCTCTGTTTCCTTCCTACTTGCTTTTTCCTTCTTTTTATTCCATTCATTCATTCACTTCTTTCTTTCTTTATTTCTTTCTTTCTATTCTCAATATCTATACCCACTTTCCTTTATTTCTCACTATTTCATTTTCTTTCTTTTATTGCATTCATTCATTTCTTTGTTTCTTTCTTTCTATTCTCATTCTCTATCCCTACTTTCCGTTATTTCTCCCTATGTATTTTTCCTTCCTTCTTTCTTTAATTCACTTCTTTCTTTCTTTCTTTCTTTCTTTCTTTCTTTCTTTCTTTCTTTCTTTCTATTTCTCCCTATTTCCTTTTTCTTCTTTCTTTCTTTCTTTATTTCTTTCTTTCTTTCTTATTTTCTCTCCTCTCTCTCTCCTCACTTTATTCCCTACGTCTTTTCCCTTCTCTCCGTTCCTGCACATGTACCCCAGTTTATATTTCTTCCTTCTACTCAATTTCCTGTTATCACATTGCTTTCATTCGGCTCTTCGTTCTCTCGTGCATTTCTTCCTTCTTTTCTTTTGCCCCTCTTCTTGTTTTCTCTCCCCCCCTCCCCACAACATCTCCACCTCTCCTAATTTGGATGTAATAGAAGCCTAACACCATACTCTGGCGTCTGGTATCTGCGAAATAAGGTTGCATGTGTTATACAGGTTCACTGGGTGCATCTAGTCACATGGGTGAGATGCTGTGCTGTGTTTTGCAGTTGAAATAGCATCAGTACACAGCAGTCAGCCTCAAAGAAGTGATTCGTCATCTGTATATACTCTGCATAGACAGAGACGCCACAGAAAATATATACGGATACCATCCCACTTAGAAACTGATATGTACGATAAGAACTCTAATTATAAAATTGCATTTATTGGATAGATAGATAGATAGATAGATAGATAGATAGATAGATAGATAGATAGATAGATATGGACCGACTGAGGATAGACATGAACAGAGATAGATAGATAGATAGATAGATAGATATGGACAGACTGAGGATAGACATAAACATAGATAGATAGATAGATAGATAGATAGATATGGACAGACTGAGGATAGACATATAGATAGATAGATAGATAGATAGATAGATAGATAGATAGATATGGACAGACTGAGGATAGACATAAACATAGATAGATAGATAGATAGATAGATATGGACAGACTGAGGATAGACATAAACATAGATAGATAGATAGATAGATAGATATGGACAGATAGACTGAGATATAGACATAAACATAGATAGATAGATAGATAGATAGATAGATATGGACAGACTGAGGATAGACATAAACATAGATAGATAGATAGATAGATATGGACAGACTGAGGATAGACATAAACATAGATAGATAGATAGATAGATAGATAGATAGATAGATAGATATGGACAGACTGAGGATAGACATAAACATAGATAGATAGATAGATAGCATGCCATTTGGTGCATTTATATCTTGGTGTGTGACTTGTATTGCCGACTACGTCCAATTGCCACCTTGCATAGTTTGTTGCATAGATTGCAAGTGAAGTTAGGCTGGGCGCCATAGTAACAGATTGTGTTGCTGTGTCGACGTGTATGGGTAATCAAGCTAGCCTTTGAAATGCATACGCCCTAACATTCTGCACAGGTGAGTTTCTTTTCAGTACCCTTTTCCTAGGAGGGTGCTTACTTTCTCCGCATAATGAGTAGCCCGTCTTAGCCCTGAGCATTCAGTCTTATTAATACCTGTCAGACACAAGATCTTCCCAAACGCTGGTGTCAATATTGAGCTTCTTAAGTGTTTCCTCGAAGCATTCTTCTTAACAATTATGCGATTATAACGATTACTGAGGACGTTTGTCTTGCAATAGTTCGCCATAAGGCGCCTGTTTTTGTCACCCACAAAATGTAATACAGAATGTTTCACATGTTTTAAAACAAAATGATCGGGCACAAATCAAGGACCACAAATGATAGAGTAATGGAAATTACATTTATTGAAATGTAAAAGGATAACATTTTAGGATCTGCAACTATTTAGTCTCAAACATGAACCCAAAATATCAAGAGGAGCCCTAGAGTACATGTTCTAGATGTTCACCGTTCAATTGAAGGAACTTTTGAATGCAAAGTTATTGATAACACTTGCAAATTACCCCGGGATGATCGCCTGAATCTTCTTAGTGATGTCTGCCTTCAATGTAGCAGTGGTACGAGAGTTGCCCTGTTGGATGTTGCCCTTGAGGCACCCCCAGAGGAGGAAATCTGGGGAATTCCGGTCAGGTGAATGAGGTGCCCCTTTCAATTCAGCTTTGCGGCTGATGAGACACTTTCAAAACTTTTCAGGGAGACATGCTATGGTAACATTATCAGTGTGAGGACTAGCACATTGTTCCTCCTCATAAAGGCCCACACGCTCCGCGAGCTCTCCCCATCTGAGAGGCTGCTGCTTCGTTTCAACAATTGTGAAACACCCTGGAATTCGGCTTTAACCTTGATTCAAAAACTAATCTTCGTCATTTGTTGGCAATAGTCTATAAAACAGAGATATAGATCTTTCTGCATACAGAATGAAAGAAGCCTTTCAGAAACTACCGTAATTTCTCGAAAATAATACACATCCATAAATAATACGCACCCCCAACAAATGATCTCAAAATTAAGAAATATATTTATCCCAATGTATAATAAGCATCTATAAATTTTGTCAAGAAAAAAAACAAAAACAAAAAATAATTACGAAGACATTTTGTCGACCTTGACATTAAGAAGAAAAGTGAAACAAAGCGGCCAAAATAGTGTTAAAAATTACCAAAGCGGTTTTCCCCGATAAATATAACATTTTATTTTACCGTCAAAATGTCGTCAAAACGTGCGAGTTATAGTGCAAATTTTAAACAAAAAGTAATAGAATAGGCAGAAAGAATAGGAAACAGAGCTGCAGCTAGCGAATATGAGTTGGATGAGGCTGACATAGGTTTATGGAGAAAGAATAAGAATGAACTAA